GCCCGATTTTAAACGGGGAAATATTGAATTTTTTTTTTTAAATAATATGTTTATATTCTGTCGAGTTCAGATATGTAAATGGAATTTATAAATATTTTTATAACTCAAGTTATAGCTATTTTAATGAGACATTTTTCAATATATCTGATATTTTATTTTGATTTAGGGCATTAATTGTTTATTTTTTTTTGCCACATTACAACTAAAAAGAAAAAGGAAATTTATTTTTCAAATAGTGTTATCCGTGTTCTATAAATATAAATAATGATACAAAATATTTTTATTCTTTTTCAATGTATTCATAATAAAATTGATTCGTAATTATGTTTTTTTTTTTCAAAGACTGGGGATAAAATTTACTCCATTTTACATTATATTCAATATATCCATATTAAAGAGAATCTTCTTGATTATTAAATGATGCACATTTTGTTTGCGGCCGTTTGTAGCAATAACGTACACAAATTATTATCATTTGAAAAGTACCAGATATCTGCAAAAATTAGGTTTTTACTCAAATTTAGTTTTCGTAACAATAACATTATGTGTATCATACGATATTTCAATCGCAAACATGCATTTTTCCATCTAGGACATTCCGGCGCGAGCGTTTCGGCGTGGGCTTTTCGTCGCCGGCATTTCGGTGCGAGGTACGTTTCGGCGTCAGGTGTTATCTTCTAAAATTGTATACACTATACTAATAAGTAATAACATTCGTACTGCTCTACCTTATCGCAGTATAATTTTAATAAAAACAATAGCTTAAGAAAAATACAGAGTGGTTGGGATACTTTTTATTGCCAATTAGAAGCTGGTAAAAGCCCACCGAAAAAACAAAAAAAAAATTTTGAATGTTGATAAGCGAATCTTTAAAATAGTTAGCAATTATAATAATAGGGACATATTAACATTTTTAAGAGGTATCGCTCATGATTTAAGCATGACACATTAATATACTACATATTTATTTTATTATTAGAGTGACATATTGATATTGTATTATTAATTTTATATTTATTATTTATTAAGCACGACATTGTCATAACGACATTTAACGTAACAGACCTATTTTATTATTTATTTTATATTTGTTATTTATTAAACAGGACATATTGATATTTTATTAAAATTGTAAATTTTTTGACAATATCTATAAAAGAAAATTATAATATTAATTTTATAGAAGTAAATTTGTGTATTATGTAAATTAGTGTAATCCAGCGCCGAAATGTCCGTGTCCGTGCATTTTTATCTACCTATTGTATTTATTTTTATTAATGATAAATATAATATTAAATCTTTTTTTTTCCGTTTTAACCGACGACGCCGTGGGATCTGCTTTCGCATTGCTTCCGCGGCGCAAAATGTAATATTAAATCTATATTATAAACATACCATTTTGATGGAAAACATGTGAAAATATGGAAAAGAATTGAAAACATGCAATAATAAATATAAATTTTAATATATCAGATCTCCATTTCAGAAAATGAATCATTTAAGTTATTTTCCACGCTTTCTAAACAATCGTCTATTAATAACGATTTAACTTCGATCGAGATGTTTTGGTTAGATTTATTTGATATCGTCCTTATCGAGGAAATGTATGGGTCGGATGAAACCAGTAGCACATTGAATAAATCTTCATTGGTGTGTTGTCTTGTATCTTTTTTAGTATAGTGATTCATAATGTTTTATAGTCTTTGTTTCTTGATTCTTGTGTTTCGTCAGAAAGTATACCTTAATTTTTATTTTAATAAATATTACTTGTCTTAAACATTTTTATACAATTATAAATAATTACCAATTGGAAGAATTGCAAAACGTATTACATCAGCGCTATATATTAAAATTTTGTGAACGCTTGCAGGTATGTAGTACCATGGGTAAAGATTAACATATCATTTTGCAGTGTCCAATACGTATGAATCAAAAGCCTCTGAATTTATTTCACGTCCACATGAAATTGCCGTTAATATATTTTTGAAACGCTTGATTACATTTAAATCAATACCCGTTATTTCACTTTTTAAATTTGGATTAGAAAAAAATCTTCTTGCAGTATTACCATCCATTGTGTTCCCTTTTCCTGTAAATAAATTTACATTTTTTCATTTAAATTTTAAAATTATAATACATTTTAGTCATACTTTTATTTACCTTACAAAATAACATCTACTAATAAACCTAATTCTGATCGAAATCTGTCTTGAACATACTTTTTTTTTTGCTTAATATAAGTTTATGTGTTGCTAACCTTACCTACAGGTAAATATAATTTTAAATATATTTTGACTATATATTGTTATGATTTGATATATTTCTATCATACTAAACTTACCGCCCATTTTTTTATTTCTAACCGATACGAAATATGCAACAAGCACTCAAATAATCTTATCCACCTCGCATGAAGTGTGGACAATCCAAATCTTAAAGATTCTTGGTTGACATTAAATGAAATTACATTTTCAATATTGTTCATTTCTTTAGGAGAAGATCCGCAAATGAAGTATTTTTGACTTGACATATTAGTCATGGAATTATAGACCTATATTACAATTTAAATGAAAGCAGAGATATTTATAATATATTTAGTTTAAATTATCTTACCTTTCCGACAACCATAGTAAACATCAATGTATGTGTTACTAATAATCGGTTCCCATTAAACAAAATTACTGTAGGATGTAACTGTTTTATTTGATACTCAACTGCATTTACTTCTTTTAAAGTAGTTTCTATCTTTACCTTTTCAAACTTAAATTTTATTGGACGGCAAAATCGAGTTGATGAAGTTCGATTGTTTGTCCGAATAATATTTTTATTATTTTGTTGATCAAAACTATTCAGCTGAAGAGGAACAATCGAAAAAAGGAATATTTCTTTACCTGAGCATGAATTATCATTGTCAATATATTTTTGTTTGTACTGTGATTGCCCATTACTGCCATCACAGCCCCATTTGTATATAATTTCGAAACGTTATAAAAAAAGTTAATTTATTTGTATGTCAAGAATTAAAAATATTCGTTGAGAAGTATGATTGAGTAGATCCTTCAGGTTAATCTCACAACAATTTTCAGACATAATACAGTTTTCAGGATAACATTGTTTTTTTTCTGTAATAATTGTATTATATGAAGGAAAAATGTCTGCATTTCGTGCTTTTGTGGACAATCTAATATTAACATATTGTTTTTTGGTTAAATTATTTTCAATAAAAAAAGGCTAACGTTTCGTCTGCATTATACGGTATACGTTTTAAAGTTTCAGAATTATTTAGTATTTTTTTTAATTTTACTATCGTGGTTTGGTGTTTCTGTAGGTTTATTAAAAATGTGGACTTCACTTCTCTGGCCAGATTTGTTGATTTTGTGTTTAGCCATACTAATAATTTCTGAAGAGGATAATTTGATGTAAGAATTCAATAATAAATTAACTTTACGCCTCTTCGTCCGTTCTGTACATTTTTCAAACTATTTAGATCTCCTATCTGCAGTAGTTGGTGCAGAGTTTATAATTGTTTCATTTTATGGTATTTTGATTTTAGCATCAAAGTACTTAGAATTATTTTTTTTAATTTTAGTAGTATTTCAATACGATTTACTCCATTTTTTTGATAACGCAACAGAAAAATTTAAAATTTGACGTTTTACTAAATTATTATAAGTAGTAGACGACTTTACACCATTCAATTTTTTTGTTCAAAATCAAAAAATATTTTTTCTGGAACTTGCAGAAGTTACGGATTTCAAAGATAAGTTCTGTCTACCAATATCAAAAAGATCACCATTTTTTAAATCTTTAGTTATATGATCAACTAAAAAACCAAAATTTATCTTGTAAGAATTTAGAAAATATATTTTTGTATTTATATATATATATACATTATACATATGTTACCTTCTATTTGGTTATCCATGTTCAAAATAAAATAACTACAATGAGTTGATAAAAATACCAAAAAAAAAACAATCAATGGTGTAATAAGAATATACTAGTAAAATATGAATTAATATTAATATTGTACTGTAGCTAAATAAGTAGGTATGTTACGCGTAAGATTGTCGCAATAGTCACTTTACCAAATCGAAAATGTGTGTGTAGGAAGTACCCTATATACCCTATCTTTATTTTATTAAAATCTATAATCTTAAATAATAAAAGTAAAAGCATTATTCAATTATATCGATCAAAATAAAATATTAAAGTAAACCTAATTTTTACAGACATCTGGTATTTTTCAAATTATAATAATTTGTGTACGTTATTGCTGCAAATGGCCGCAAACAAAATGTATATAATTTAATAGGCATGAAGTTTCTCTTTAATATGGATGTATTGAACATAATGTAAAATCGAGTAAATTTTATCCACAGTCTTTGAAAAAAAAAAAAAAAAACGTAATTATGAATCAATTTTATTATGAATGCATTGAAAAAAAATAAAAATATTTCGTGTTATTATTTCTATTTGTAGAACACGGATAACACTACTTGAAAAATAAATTTTCTTTTTCTTTTTTAGTTGTAATGTGGCAAAAAAAAAAATAAACAATTAATGCCCTAAATTAAAATAAAATATCAGATATATTGAAAAATGTCTCATTAAAATAGCTATAACTTGAGTTATAAAAATATTTATAAATTCCATTTACATATCTGAACTCGACAGAATATAAACATATTATTTAAAAAAAAAAATTCAATATTTCCCCGTTTAAAATCGGGCAATAAAAACAGCTTAATATTAATTTGTGGACCACTGTGGTAACCGGCGATCGGTACTACGACAACAACAACGCACTGTCTCGAAGACGACTACCCAGCGCGCAATGTGTTCGTGAGTGTCGGCGGCGGTGTCCTTGGGGGGGACGGAGCAGGGGGGAACGGTCACGTTGTCCGCGCACGTCGCTGCCGAACCGGACGCCTAGCGCGCGACGCAAGGAGATTCTCCTTGGTCGGAGGCGCGGTTCCGCGTCACGTCAGTTCGCCTCGACCAGTCGTGGCGCATGCACGTCTCGCTGTTTCGAGTCTCGCGTTCGCCTCCGTCGCGTCGTTCGCCCGCGCGACGTATTATCGTCACAACCGCGTTGCGTTTTGTTCGCGATTCTATTTCACTTTTCGCTTACGATTTTCCGTTTTCGCGGCCCCCGTCACTCTCGCGTGTGCCGTCCGCAGTTTCGTCGCGCGTTGTCTACCGCGTGTCGTTCGTTTATCTTTCGTGTGGCCAGGTGCACTTCCGCGTCGCAGTCGTCACACCGCCCCTCCGGTTCGTTTATTTATAGGCCGCTGCGGTGGTCGCGACTTTTTTTTTTTCTTTCGCCGAACACCTACCGCCGCAGTTACGTTCGCGTGCATAGTTATAACATTATAGGTATATACCGCTTACCGTGCGACCGTTTCGGTTCATTCTCTTAACCACGCGTCTTTGTCTAATCGTTCGCTAACGACCACCTTAACACGAACACGTTTAAACGGATCGCATACAGATACCTCTTCTCTCTCTCTAGTGACGTTTCATTATTGCGTACTAATACAGTATAAAAGTTCGCGTGCGCCCTTCGTAGGGTTTGTCGTACAATAACTTACCCCTCTCGTCTTGGCTTGTCCGACCGTTTGCGTACTGTTCGATTACGGTTCAATTATATTCCACATAATCACGGTAATTTTCGCACCGTGTGATCGTCGTCTTCGCGTCGCTGCCGTCAATCTCCTCACACGTTACACAGGTAGGTTATGATAGGAATTGTAATTTCCCCTCAAACAATTATTTTGTATGATCTATCTTATACGACCTGTTGGTATACATATTATTATTACTGTATATAGTAGTATTGTTTCATCCACCGATATTATAACTGTTCGTTTATTAAATGGAAATTACAATTCCAAAATATTATTATCTCTGGACGCGGTTGTCGTCATCGTGCATGCTTCTCATCCCCTAGGTTCATCTACCACGACGGACGATAGTAATGAATATGGTACCTATGGATGCATGTGTATTTAAAACTAATAAAAAATACAAAATGTGTAAATAAAAAAATTGAATTTTATATAAAAAACTATAAGCTAGTTACCTAATAATATATTTGGACGACACTTTAAATTATCAATCATAATATAATTTAATCATACATTAAATTATATACCTTAATAAATATTGAAATAATTCATTGAAGTATAGGATCTTCGTCGTTAACAAAACAATGGGCAACCATTTACTTTTTATGTCTTTAAGAGTAAATCGAAGTCGATTATGGCGCAATACGTTTTTGTAACAGCTAAAGGATCTTCTTCGTCAACAATAAATTATAGGTACGAATTTGAAAGCTCTTAATCCAGTAGCACTGAAACGAGTCTTGTGACCTACGACTGCCATAGTCAGTAATTTATATTATATTTTTAACCAGACTTAACGGCGATGGTGTCATTTTTTTTTCAAAATTAGAGAATATTTAAAAGAAATATGTTATAAGGGCAATAATATGTAAAAATATGGAGTATCAACCATAGCTTAAAGCATTTAGATAGTCCTGAAATATATTTTTTGTAGAGAATTATTCGATATTATTAATTATAACAAATATATTTGTAGATATATATATATACAAATCTACACCTTTGTAATTAATATAAAACAATCGTATAGTTTTAAAATATATAATAATAATAATAATAATAATAACAATTATAATAATTACTATTTATAAGATTGCCTTTCATAAGATTTGATATTTGTAAACATATGCTAATTTTTTAAAATTAAATTACAAGATTCCTACTAGTAGGAAAAATAAAAATATTTATGGTATTTTAATCTTTAACTTCAATATTTTGTTTTTTAGGTACCTTTATAGAAGTGTAAAAGTATGGTTATAATAAATTAATAAACAATAATATATTGTTGACATTTTGTTGATAAAATACAACATTCATACTAAGAAAAATTGTTTTTACATAAGTCTTGTAAAATAGAAAAATATGTCATACGAATAATAGGGCGCCCAAGAAAAAATAATTTAAATTTTCTATAAATAGCAATCAAATATTTTGAACATTTGATTATTCATAATAAACGATGATACGAGCACTTAATCTAATCAACGAAAATTTAAAATTTCTACGATTATTATATTTTGTGCTATGATGAAAACTATTATTCGATTTCGTTAAAAATTGGTATACCGTTAATTTTGCAGGTTTTGTATAATTTTTTATTATTTTTAAGAAAACAACTGGAAAATTTTCGTAAAATTACTCCCTTTTAGCATCATTGAAAAAACATTTCCTATCGGAAATTTCTTATGATAATGATAATCAGTGAAATCCTTATGGCCAAAATCATGTACACAGGAATAACAAAAAATAAAGAAAATCAAACACATGGTAATACCCCATTTCAATCAATTCCTCGTATGATAACACTTCCCAATGATAAAAACACAAATTCCGTTGTAGCACACACGACGGAGATGAATGGGACAATGTGGAAGGAAAATTTGAAGGGTATTTCTGTATTTGTGTATTTATATAAATACGCCAAGTTCAATTCATAAATCATTATGATAGTAGTATTAAGTTTATTATTTATACGTATGTGAATTTACTGAAATACTGTTCCTATAACTAGCAACCTCAATCAATATACCTATTATAACAATAAGTGAAATATGTTCACACATATTTTCATTCGTATACAGTGGGTAAAAATAATCTCCGTACACTGTACTCAGATTTTTTCAATAAAATATAATGATAATTACAAAATGTAAACGTTTCTTTTTAAACTTTTTCTTTTTAAAAGGTTTTTTTTACACAACGTTTGTATCCTGCATTTCTCATAATATTACCAATGGTCTGTGACGTAACTTTTACATTATAAACAGCATTAATCATACCATCCAATTTGAGTACACTGGATTTTGGTTTCTTTCAATTTTATTTAGAATGGCCATCTTTTGGTGTGATTTTAATTTTTGAGGACGGCCCATTCGTGTTCAATCTTAATAAAAACTAGTTTTGTTTCTAATACATTTTACAGTAGAGTGCAATTTATTTATTGTTTATGCAATATTTTTGAGAAAGTACCATCTTTTCTTAGTTGAATTACTAGTTTACGAATAGCAATTGGTGTCTTTATTGTTTAATGTATGTAAATTAAATAAACGTGCGTAAGCGTATGCCTATTGTATTTAATGGTTACAAAAATATTGATGACGTGTTCACTGTTATGTAAAACTCTCAGTTCATACAAATTTTCCATATTTCAATGTTATTTTTATTAATCTGTTATTTATACACATTGATAAATGTATGGAGATTTTTTGTTGATATTATCATAATAATGCTAATGTATGTATGTATATATATATATATATATGTATATATAAAATAAAATAGTTAAAATATATATATTCGGGTAGTCCTTATTTTTTTAACCTAATTATTTTTAATCCGTATTACATAGATTTATTAAGTTACACGGGAAAGTAATTTTCATAAAATTTGGAAAAATTGAATTTGGTACCGAATCACGGTTGAGATATGGCAGTTTAAAATAATTTTATTGTTTTTTTTAAATTCTACTCAAAAACTATAACAATTACCATAAAAATGTATCGTAACTTATTTAGATAATTTATTAATGCCTAAAAAAAAGTATATTACAAAAATTTTCATATTTTCATTATTTTCTAGAAAAAACTTTTAAAAATAAAAATAAAATAATTTTTTTGTCAAAATCAAATTTAATATATTTCTGAATAATTTTTTTTTAAAAATATGAAATTATTATAGTCATTAAGCTTATGAAGTTGACTTGCCATTTTATTTTATTGAAAAAAATCTGATAACTCAGTACGGAGACTTTTTTTGATTCCCTATATACTCGTATATACCTATATATCATGTCAATTGTGTAAACAATTGAACAATGACGTTATAGTGGTACATTTATACTAATTGATTTTGAATAACCTCAAAAATAGATTTACGAGAATAGACCACGTGTCTAGAGTATTTTAGGTCATCATTTATTTTTCATTTTCTTAATTAATTACTAGATAAATTACCTGTTATTTCAAAAACAATATTAATTAAATATTTTATAATCTTTAATGGTTTCCCATTATAATAAGACCAGTTTACCCAGGGGGTAAGTGTTCAGGACCGAGTATTCTTGGATCACAATAATTTTGAAAATATAACATTTGATGTACTATGTTTCATTACTTTTCAATTAAGAACTTTTTTATAATTTTGAATTTTATTATTTTATTGTTGTTGTTGTATTGGATTTTAATCATTCAAATTTTAAATTTAATATAGGTCACTAATCGTATTTACTGTTAATTTAAGTATAATGTTTATCTACATGCATAGGTACTCTTATCCATTATTTGTTTAAATTGCTTATATATTTCAACGACATTTTATCCGTTCATTGAATTTTGAGTGATTATATTTTTTTACTCAAAAATAATAACACATATCTGACATATCTTTAATTTATATTTATGTAGTTTAATAATATAACTGTTCTAACTACAATAACATATAACATTGTATTTCTTATAAATTAGTTATTTAGGTAGGTATCACTGATAACTATTGCCTTCATCAGTTAACCAAATTATGGTTTTATTTTATGCTAATATAAGTTATGAATGTTGAATAGTGTAGGAAGTGAAAAGAGAAAACTACTTAAGACAAAACATAATTATAAACCAATATTTCTGAAAAGAAAATAATTTTGAAATTAGTTTAAATTTTTAATTTTATTGCAATATGTTCTTATTTTAAAAAGGAAATGTTCAATAAATGTTTATTAAATAGTAATAAATAGTAATAGCAATGAATAAAAAAAGGTTGTGTTTTGGTTTTTATTTTCGATTAACTATTGTTTTAGTAAAAATAAAAATAAAAATAAATATTAATGACAATTACATATAGCTTTCATCTCGTAAAATAATAATATTGGTGTTATTTAATAAGACTTATTAAAATACTTTATTAGATTTATAAGTTATTTAAAACACGTATTGAATAACACTTTTTTGTTTTAAACTTTTTGTTTTGTATACATTTTAATGAAAAAACAAATTCCTTACGAAAAACAATTATATTCGTTAATAATTTGAGATATTCAGTATATGCAGTGTATAATTTTATTATTTTTCAACTATTTAAGGTTATAAACATACTTTATTTTTCTTAATTGAATATCTATGAACTGTTATTATTGATAGTATAATGAAGTTTACATTTTTCAATTTTAAATTTGCATATTGAATATTATTACGCTTGTTGTTTAAAAATTATAACTTTAATTCTTGTTTTGTACTAATATAATGTTGACATTATCATGATATTAAATGATTGACTTTATTTTTATTTTTATATTTTTAACTAGTAATTTATTTTTTTAGTTTAACTAATTGTTATTTTAATTTTATGTATAAAGTATTCAAAAACAGTGTGTTTAACGGAAATACCTTACTATTTTTTTACTTTACTATGGTCATCAAAACGTTAAATGCTTAGTAAGTTATTATTGATAAACTAGTTTAAGCGTAGTTTAATATTCAATATTTTTAAACTGTAACTTTAATTAATATTTTAATATTCTGCTTCAAGTTCATAATTTAAAATATTTAACAATAATATATTATTGTAAATAATACTCTGAACAACACAATATTTGATAAGTAGTCAGCAATACACGTAT